GAATGCTGTTAAGCATTCCAACTATTGTTATCCTGTTTCTTTATTCTTCTTTATTTTATTATTGCTGGAATGCTGTTATTTCTTCCGTACGCTTTTTGCTACTTAACTCCTTCCACATTTTTTAAGCTACAAAAACCGTTCAACTATCAAAATGTTCAGCTTTTTCAGGAGAGGGGTGCTATGACTTTTCATATTTCTAACCTTTAAACTTCATGAATTATTAAGCTTTTTGCAATTTTTTTTTTGAATGGGTTTCTATGGAGAAAATGTTCAAATCCTCTTCAACTTTCAAATCCTTCTACTTCCTCATACTTTCAGCTATAGACACCATTTAAACTTTAAAATGTTTAGAAAACCCTGATCTATTGCCGCATAATTCAGCTTTTTGATATTACTTTTTGAACTGTCCCATTTTAACTTTTATGATTTTTTCACTCCTTTTCTGACTTTATAATGTGTGTATTGCGCAGCTTAGAGTGCGTGATGTCACCGCCAGAGTGAAGAGCAGCTTGAGATTCTTGTGAAAAAAAGATTTGTATTTTGCCACTGTCTCCACAATTTTCACTCTTCATGATAATTTCTGGATGTAAAAGTAGCTAATCTTGTCCTTGTCGTAGACAGATGACTGTGGAATCCCACAGATTTACACATTTGGCACAGAAGCCTGTAATTGAAAGGAAAACCAACTTTCTGCTCCATAGAGACCAATGTTAAATTTTGCTTCAAAAACATCTTCCACAGAACACGGTACCCCATTTCTAGATCGCCAGTTCAGCCACATTTTTTACACTACAGACACAATTTTTACAGGATCTGTTCTTCAACTCATCCTTCCTCTCATTTATTAATATCGGAGCAATAGGAGCTACGGTTATGGGAGTTTTGAGGATTTGTTTGAGAGGTGTTTTCCTGTTTAATCTCCATGAAAAGGCTGCAAGGACACAGGTGTTTCTGATTAAGCTAATTAGTGATGTTGATAAACACAGAGAGGCACTGGCACACTCACTCCTCCCCCTCTCTCTGTGTGTGTGTCTCTCTCTCATACAGTCATTTGCCACCGAGTCCACAATCTTCACTGTTCATGCATCATTTTTAATGGAGAAGTAGCTAATCTTGTCCTTGTCGTAGACAAATGACTGGGGAATCCCACAGACTTGCACATTTGGCTCAAGGAGCCGCAGAGCGACATGAAATCCAGCCAACTGCTCCATTAGACTCCATGTTAAATCTGACCACTCATTTCTCAAAGAAAGCAGACGGTACCAGTTTTGTCTATTGCTCTGCAGCTCACATTTTTAACACCACAAGCATAAAAAAACATTAAAAAAACATTACCGCGTTCAGCAGTCTTATCTTTCTCACGGTATCCATATTTTGGATACTTAAATCAGTCTGCCTCTAACACCAGGTGCGTCGTCACCATGGCAACCAGTTACACACACACACTCAGGCTTTCTCTCTCTGTCTCATACAGTCATTCAGGTCTTAGAGATTTTAAGAGGACTTTCCACCCCCCAACCCCATTTCAAAATAAAAGCCCCAGAGAGTGAACTACCTGAAATGCTTGTGATGAAGCCTGTCATTTAATAACCTCCGTTTATGTGTGTCAAACATTATGATTTTGTCTCTTCTCCCCCACCCAGTCCCACCCTTTCAAAATAAAAGCCCCACAGAGTGAAATCTAACTGGAATGCTTTTGATGAAGACTCATTTAATAACCTGTGTTTCATACATTCTGATTCTGTCTCCTCTCCTTTCTCCCCCACCCAGCCCCACTCTTTCAAAATAAAAGCCTCATGGATTAACTGTATTTAAGCGTTAAGCTCAAAATTAGGCTTTTTTGTTGAAAAACTTAATGCTCTGACTAATACTGCGACAACTACTACTGCTAATATAGTATTACTACTACTACTTCAACTATAACTTTTGCTGTTGCTACTATTACTACTATTACTGCTACCATCAATATTATTACTACCACCACTACTACTATTACTTATACTACAACTGCTATTCATGCTACTACAAGTAGTATTACTACTACGGCTATTAGTACAACTGCTACTAGTACTACTGCTACTTCTACTGTCATTACTACTATAACTACTACTACAACTGTTATATTAAATACTACGACCAATACTACAGCTATTACTACGACTACTGATACTACTTCTTCTAATTACTAATACTACTAATACTTCTACTACAACTTCCACTACTACAAATATCACTACAGGACTTTTCCCTTTCAAAATGTTCAGCTCTTTCAGGAGAGGGGTGCTTTGACTTTTCATATTTGTAATCTTTTTGAAATATTTAGCTATTTGCAATTTTTTTTTTTTTTTTTTTATAAATGGGATCTCTATGGAGAAAATCTTCAAATCCTGTTAAACTTCTTCAACTTTCAAAGCCTTCTTCTTCCTCATACTTTCAGCTACAGACACCATAGTTAGACATTTCAACTAGAAGGGTTTTCAGCAGTGCAGTTTAAATGCTTTCGAGCTTCAACCTTTTTCAGACAGGTAGTCTCCCATTTCTTAATTTTCAGCAATTTTTTTACAATTAATTTCAGCTTTCAGCATTCCAACGCATTTTCAGCAGGAAATGCATTTTCTAGTTACTCTTTGTCCTTGTGTCCTCTTCACAGCCTCTGCATAGCTTATGTTGTTTCCTGCTTTTACCTATTGGATTTCCACCGCCCTCTTCCTGACTTCACATCCACCATATGTTACCCTGTGCTGGCCACCACAATTACACCATTTATCCTGCATATTATCCTTACACTCCACTCTGTGATCCTCTCCACACTTGGGACATCTATGTTTCCCTTTGCAAACTGCTGCTATATGTCCATATCTCTGGCATTTGTAGCAGCGAAGCGGGGGCGGGACATAGGGCCTCACCGGGAAACTCATACACCCGATTTTGACTCTTTCAGGAAGTACGGAATCCTGAAACTCAATAAGAACAGATAGGCTATCAACCCTTTCTCCATTAACTGTTCTTAGCAACCTCTTCATTCTGCTCACTTTCCCCCCACAAATACTCCGTTTGAGTTTTTCAATGTTCTCTACAGGAATACCTGTTATCACTCCTCGTGTCACTCGATTCTCACTCACAGATCTTTTTTCACTTATCATTTTTTTACAGATACTTTCTAGGTCCGTGTACGTTTTACCGTTAATTCGGGAAAAAACAAAATACGAAATAACATGGTATTCTCGTTTTTCGTTTGAAACCGTAAACGGGAAAACGGAAATGGGCGGTCGTATTTCCGTTTTTGGTTCTGAATTCAAAAACGGAAAAATCACAGAACCAAAGTCAAAAATATCCATAGTTTTGTTTTTTTGTTCTTCCGTTTTACATATCAATAAGCTTCCGTCCCTCAAGACTTTAGCCATTTCCACTTCTCCGATCTTCTTTCTCAATTCCCTAGACCGATATGCTCATCTTCCTTTCTGAATTTAAGGATCATTTTAAATTCCTCCCTCACAATCTTCCTTCGACCAACTCCATTTCCTTCATCAGAACTGTTTCCCTCCAAGCTTATTTTATTATTTTGACTCCCATTCAAACTTCCCTCACTCTGCCTGTTCCCTCCCTTCTTTCGTCCTCCTCTCCCACCAGATACCGGATTCCAGCCCTGACAATCCACATTATCCTCCTCATCCATTTCCTGATTTGCCACCCTAATCCAGTCACAACCCAGTTTATGCCAACCGCCAAATCAAAAGGTCTAAAAAAACCGCTTTCAGTGCTGCCGTCTCTCGATCTCCACAGCCGTCGTCTGTCATCCGGTGTTTTTTTCGCGGCTCCAAGCTGACGTAACTACACAACGTGATGCCGGCACTCAGCTCCCCTGAAAAGAGATCGTCCTTCAAGAGATCCTCTCCTTTTAGCCACCAGCCACAGCTAATCGCGATTGAACGCAGCCGCGTCCAATCAGTCGCTGCAGCTGGCATCCGGGAGAGAGGGTGGCACCCGAGAAGACTGAGGGAAAACAGGGAGAGCACACACAAACACAACACAGCACTTAACATTCACTATAACTTTACATAGATAATATACCTTTACTGCTTTATTAAAAGTTAGGAATAACAAACATACACTTATTGTAGGTCCAAATTCAGATATTGACTTATAATAATTGAATTTATGTGTTAATTTATTATCATTTTGACAGTGTGTCAACATTTAGACTTAATTTCTCATAATTTTGTCTTAATCCATTAAATGTTTTAGACTTTGCATATCATACCTTTGACACAGTGGCTTAAGTGGTTTTACTTAGAAATGTTTTAAAAAATAGACATCCACTTTTTCTCGTTTCCTAGCAGAAAATCATTGGCTTTCCAAAAATGTTGGTGAGACAGTAAGATAAGACTCATGTAGTAGTAAATAGAATTTGGTTGGATGCTGTGATATTTTCTAATGGTTAAAATAGCTTTTCCTTTGCAGTGAACACCATGCATGCAATCACTGAAACAATCCAGTCGCACTCCTGTTAAAATCCATCAGAGGTTAGTCACAGCTCGCCAGCCAAGTCAATGTCTGTGGACCAATCATTGACCTCAGACGTCTCTCAGCCCTTCAACTTCAGTTGACTTCAGTTCAGTCAGCCCATGACGACACTATGTAGACAGATGTTAAGAGCACTAATGGGAATATAAATCAAGGCTTTAAACAAGTGAGGCACTTTTCTGCCAAAATGTGCAACTTTTTTTTGCCAAGTGGCATCACAGCATATTCCTTTTTATAATGTCTATCACACAAAAAAATGATAAAGATATTAAACAGTACTCCCTTCTCATCAGCAACCATGCAAAGCTAGTATAAAGACTGCCAGTAAGTGATACCTGAAATTGTGCATTAAAGTAGCCTCATTAAGAGAAACATTTGAAATCATAACACAGAAAAAAAGACAGTCTTTGGGAAACAGAAATAACTAAAGTGCTAAAATTATAAATCTCCAAATAATGACCCAACAAAGCATTAAATACTGTACAGTACTTACTTTACTACTGTTTGAATGTATGAGTCCAGCACATACAGTGTATTACCAGAATGGTATCTGTACAATGGAGAACACCACCAAAGTGTCTCTACAGTACTGCATCCACACATCCTTAGTGTGACATGGTTAGGTTCATTACTTTATGAATAGTCTCATCTGCTCCTCGGGGGTCGGACTTCACAAAACAGTTGTTGGCAGTTCTCAGTTGTGATTGGCTGAGTAACATTCAAAGTTAGAAAAGCAAAAACAAAACAATAAAATAACACCTGTGGCTGTAGAATAATTATTTTGCCTAAATTAAAACACCCATGTGAACATATTACCGATACATACTCATTGTACTAAACCAAAATCTCTGATGTGAGTTTAGCTTAAGACCTCTGTCCTCTCTACCTCACCTTACCCATGGTGCACTTGGGGGAAAAAATAAAAATTATGGAATCACTTTTTTTTCTGAAGCAGTAATCGTATTCAAACGACATTAAACCTTTAGAAACTTTGGTTTTGGTGATAGCAGAAATTACAAGAATATCAAGCTCATAGCAACACAATGACATGTTAAAGAGGACACTGATTCATTTGGGCTCATCTACAGCATAAATCATAAACAGTATGAATGTAGTAGTGGTGGAATATATGAGCCTCGACAACATTGTTCTGTTTCAATCCATATCTCTGGGTATTATGCCACCAAGTCCAGATTCAGTAGAGTAAAAGAAAACACGGTTCCCAAACAACTTTGGGCAATGTATGTTGAATTTGTGATCTAGTATTGCACTTAGTTTGCACATATTTTAAAAGAACCGTTAAAATGGAAGCAGCAGAAGCAGACAGCAGTAACTGGGTTAAGCTCCAAAAAAAAAAACACTGAATCCACCATTTCCCATAATGCAACCCTCCCTGCATGGTAAACTGTGCAACCCCAGCTTGTAATGAGGGCTGTCTCTCATACGTGTCGTCTCTATGCCCAAATAGAGAACTCTCATGTCCCCCGCATCATCAGGGTTATTTCCTCAATGTGTGTTCAGATAAAAAATGAAGCACCTTCTTTGCCTTGTATCCTTCACGTGAGTTTGAGTGCTGGGCCGTTTATACGGTCTGTGTTTATTCGCCCCAAACTGCCAATTTACTGACAAACATACAAACGTTAGCTGTAAGCTAGTGACGGACGCATAGACCCCGTCTGGGGGACTGAACCTCTGACCCCAGGACAGCCAGCTTTCAGTTATTTCCTGCACTCTCTTTTTTCTCTTTGCCTATGAAGTAGATTCACAAGCGCTGGGATAAGTTGAAGCATTGTCCTTGTGTCAATTCATGTAGCTCAAGGCAAATTTGTGTCAAATCGTGTCTTTGAACACCGCTCCTAAGATTTGCTTTGCCTCCGACTTGACAAAGCTCTGTTTTCACAGGGTGAGTAGGACTTCCTGTGTAACATCAGTAGATTTCCCCTCTAAATATTTGGTGTTTGTAAGTGAGCATCATGTCAATATAGTCCCTCACTCTACCAGAGGTCTCAGCCCTCTTTCCTGTGAAGGTTTTAGACAGCTCTACTTCTCTCTGAGGGTTGAACTGTTCAAACAGCAGAGGTTTTATATCGCTGTCAAAGGCAAAACACCCTTTTGACATCACTTAAATTCACCCCGTTTGTGACCTCAGCACTCTTTGTTGGTTTCACTATGTGAATGTGGTGTTGATTCAGCCTTTAAGGTTCATGGCGACAGGCTGCCTCACGAAGGTTAGGGAAGTACAGTACATGTGCTGGCCTTGTCTTGTTTCCAAGTGTTGTCGTCAGTTTACCGTTTGACAGACTGACAATAAATCCTTTCTGTTATGTTTATAACCATCATAACTTAAGAGCTTTAGTTAAGACACGTGTGTGGCTTATTGGACAGAACAGGAGCTTGTAAACGAGGTTCATAAAAAGGACAACAAAGGTTAAATGCACCAAGCGGCAAAACATTTGTCGGTTCTGGTTAATCAGCCAAACTGTCTAACTGTCAGACACCAGCGTCACAGGGTCTAACATTTCATGCATCAGCAAGATATGATGAGAAATAAAGCTCTCTCAACCCCTCTTCAAGGACAGACAACAAAATGGCTAAGAAAAATGAAACGTAACTAGGATTACAGACATAAGGAATATACATACGTATTCAAGCATACACAGAATGAGAAGATCATTAACAGCCCAATTCAATGTGGAGGGTGGTCCATAACAGGTCTGCACCTCCAATGGGCCACAGTTAGAGGAGTTCACTGAGGATGGGAAGCCAATGATGTATGATGGAATCAGGAAGTGGGAGAAAGGAAAACGTGAGCTGTTGGGGAGGGTATGGTGGTGGCCAGGTTATAGGTTGAGTTCAGAGACGAAGGCTGAGGCGATGCTAAGGGGCTGTACATGGGCCTGGCAGAGATGGTTGAAGACGGGGAGTGTTGACCAGCGGTAGCGGTTGTCGGGGAGTCCGAGCTAACCTCGTCCCCTTCTTCTGAGTCCCACACTTCACTCTGCAAGTAGTCTGCAAATAATGCCTTGGCCCTCTGCAGCACCCTGCTCAGGTTGTGGCGCCGCACAAGGCGATCAAAGTGCATGGCCAGCTCATTGTAATCCAAGCTGTTCTTGATGATGTGGTCTCGGTGCTCCAGCAGGATGGACAGGCACAGGAACAGCATGAAGGGATTGCCTTTGCCGAACTCTTGAGGAGGCGGCAGGGAACACTGTTTGATCCCGGTGGTCTCAGCCTTTAAAGAACTGGGAGTGTTAGCTGTGGTGCTGGGGGACGACCTGCTGCCAGACAGCGAAGGGCCTCTTCCAAAGGACAAAATGGGTGAAGAGAGCAGGGATCGATTGTGGGTTGGAGAGGTTTTTACAGTGGGGGTCGTGGGGGAGTTAATCCCTGTACTGCTGAGCATTTGGGCAGAAGAGGTCAATACTTTTTGGACAGTTCTTGGTAAGGCCTCACTTCCATTGGTTGTGGACAGGGATGTGGATTTTGGAGGAGAGTCTGGAGAGGCACCTGGCCAGCTGGAGGATGAAGCTGGAGATGTGGGGGACACAGAGGGGCCAGTTTTCCAGATTGGTAGGCCACTAGAAAAGAGAGGAGGCGATGACAATGGAGAGAAACCACTGTCATAGTTTTTTATGAGAGGTGTTCTCTCTCCTGTGTCCTCCTCACTATCAACGGTGGACTGGCGCTGTGGAATGCTTGTTACGGACTTTGAAGACATCAAACCCTGTGGCTGCTCAGCATCCTCCATATGAAAACTGTCTTCGTTTCGGGCAGTATAGTATTTAAACTCCCCAAAACTGGTTTTCCTCTCAAAAGGAGGCGCCTGTATAGCAACCTGTTCCATGCTCACTTGAGGATTAGCATCTTCACCTCTCTCGCTCCCCTTTCCAGTGCCTACATTTCTTCTGTCTTTTCCTTCTATGACAGCATTGTTGCTCATATCTTGTTCTTCTCTTGAAGGCCTCAGCATATGTCGTCTACGCTGCTTCTCTTTTTGTTCCTTATCATCTCCGAGGCAATTCTCAACTGTCTTGTGATTGTCTCCGTGGGATGTTGTTTCATCGGTTTCCACTGGTGGTCCCTGTAGCTCCACTTCGGTTTCAGGAGGATCCGGGGGCAGAGAGCTCCAAGTTACCTCGAGCATCCTCAAAGCATCGTCAAACGCAAACTCCCGCTTGAGCTCCAGGAGCAGCCAGCGGTAACAGAAGAAGAGGTCGTCAGCTCCTCGGGACACCAGGTAGGAGTAGAATTCGGGATCCGAGTACTGCAGGAGCAGCTTTAGATGCTGGAACTTAACAGACATGAGCTGCCCATCTGGCCGGAAGTTCCCCTCCAGGCGTTTCATGATGCCACAGAAGCAAATGAAGGCATGTGCCTCATTGTCCATTACCGCAAGTATAGGGGAGGCAATATCACTCATGCCTTGACAGTATGATATCTGAAAAACAACACATCCACACAGTTACATTAGGCTACAGTTTACAAAGAAAATAACTAAATAATAAATGAACAGAAGTTTTTTAGTCGAAAGGTATCAACATCTATCACGCATACGCTCATTTCAATGCAAAGTATGTGATTTATCAATCTCTTCTTCTGCTTTACATACATTTAAAACTAACACTACACAACAAACCCCTAGTATGACTCAGTAGGTAACATGCAGGTACAACTCAACTGTCAAACATGTAATAATGGATAGACAGATAAACTATTGCTCCTGAATACCAATGATTCCGTTTGTATTTGGGAAACAAGGTAATCATGTCTTTCAGCACAAATGATGCATTCATCTCCGCCACGCTTTTGTCTTGTTTCTCTAGTACTGCACCCCTGCTGTTAATGACAATATGTATTCATACTTGTGGGTGTGTTTTGTTATGATAATATCAAATAATCATATTTCATACGCACTTGTATTCTTATGATTATTTATAAACTTTCTTTTGCAGAATTTCCACTGCATGGTGTGGCTCTGCTTGACTCCACTGCCTTTGGTACCAGGTATTCTTAGCTGATCGTCATAGCGACGCCGTGTGAAACTACCATGACATCACCTTCAACGTGACACAAACACAGTGTGTTCTCTCGTAGGATCCTTTAATGGACAACCAAACAGAGGAACGCCCTCGGTCAGTAGCTTGGCCACGTAAAATGGCGGGTTTGTGCAGGATGTCCCGTGATGTGCTGGTGCAGATTCTCTTTGACCAATTAGTGGTCTGCAGTGTTTGAACTTTTGCCAATGGAAAACCAAATAAGAACGTAATATGAAATGGAAATGCGGCATAAATGTAACAGCCACTAGAAGTATAGGTCCTCTAATGCATAGAGGTTCCTGTGGTCAGCTGGAGGGAGGCCAGAACCAGACTATATGGATCAGCTGCCTTTTTTTCTAGGTATGTTTACAGGATTTCAATATATAATAAATATCCGTATATATCTGTAACTACAGCACTCATAATGCTTTGTGGGATGTAAACAGGAAGCATAGTGTTGCCATAGATTTAGTAAGTGACTTAATTGCCTACAACATCAGCACCGTCATTTTAGCCTACATTCGGTGTTTGTTTGTTTAAATTTCTGCAAATTGGCACCTTGAATCAGGTGTTAGTAGTTCCTGTTTGCAGTGTACCCATGGATGTACAGGCAACTCTCACTGGATTACTTTATAAAGAGCCTCTTTTTTTCTATGATTTCTAATCTGATTTATGGAAGTTTATTTGCGATGAACATCCAATATCCAGAGAAAATGTAAGTCACACTGAATCCTATGCGTATGTTTTTAGAACCCCTGTATCCAAACAGTCCTGCTTTCCCCTGGTGACTGGTGAGGCGCCTCTTTGAAAACCTCTACATTAAGGATACATATGGATGATTTAATAAGCAGATTCAGATTTTTACAACAAGCTATAAAACATCTCTACACACCTGTGGATGTGTGATGGCAAAAGTGGTGAGCAGGTCTGTGAGGGCAGTCAAATGTGGACTGTCTTCTGACCCTGCATAGTATGGATGAGCCCGGTCTGTCCTCAGGACATCTTTAAGAACATTGCCACGGATAAATTCAAGGTCCTCGTGGCTGACCCGGGCTGTCCACTCTCTCTTCAGCTGGTCGTACTCCCTCGTCTTCCTCTTCATGTAGTCCATTCTTTCCTGTCCACTCAGTCCGTCAGGGTAGACGTTCAGGAGGTACCGCCAAACAACCTACCACAACGGCAGACAATGCAGCTGTTAATCCAATCCTCAACTGAATAACAACAGTCATAAAATAGAAATTATATCATGTTATATGTCAATGTATGATTTTAAATACAAGTTAAATTGGCACATTTTGTGTGTGCATGAACACAGGGGGAGAATAGGGCACTTCTCTTTCTTTCGTGTATAGAGGGCAACAATGTTATAGGAGGCGAAGTCTACTGGAAATGAAGGGGCTTTCTGCTTACAGCACATTTTGGTTCTCTTTTTACTTAAGTTCTATGCCAGGAATCACAACTAGGATTCAGTAAGAACCAGAATTGAGAAGCAGAATCTAAATCTAAATCAACAAAATTTAACAGCTAACCCTGTATATTTGGAACTCTGCAGAACATGGAAGAGGTACTTTGTAGGCTAATAAAACACAGGTACTCTACCTTACGCAGTGAAGACTCCACACCACCATGGTAGATGCGCAGTCTGAGCTCCTCAGGGCGTGTCAACTGGCCCTGTCCGTTGAGGTAATTGTGAAACTCTGCATCGCTCAGAGGGGGCTTGAAAGGCTTGATCTCTTCCCCATAAGACCAGCTGAAGGCTTGCTGGACTTTGGACAGGGTGCGGCCCACCTGAATGAGGGAAACAAGCCAGTAAGCTAAGACCCTGACAGAGGATGGAAGATAAAACAGACTGTGTAAGGAAGGTTGGAGAAGGTGAAGGAACCTGGGAAAGTAGAGACTGGGTGAAGGGAAGAGCTGCATTTGCCAAAGACCTAGTCCTCTCTGCGAGAAGTTGCTCAGAGCCAATCACATCTTTGGGGCTTATGATGTCCCAGTCCTCCATAACAGGACCTGCAGTTGAAGAAAAAACACCAGACTTAATTAATCTATTTCAGGCTTACCTCCACCTCGAAGGGCGACTGTGGCTAAGTGGAGAACAGGGTCGTCCTTCAATCAGAGGATCTGCTCCGCTAGTCGCATGTCGATGTGTCCTTGAGCAAGACACTTAACCCCAAAAATTGCTCCCGTATGCTGAATGTGGATAGTCTGATAGGCAGGTGGCACCTAGCCCCTGCATCAGTGTGTGAATCGGTGAATGATGACAAGTAGTGTGAAAGCGCTTTGAGTAAGAAAGACTAGAAAATAGATATACAAGTACAGTCCATGTACCATCTTACACTTCTAACTTAGAGGATAGGTTCAATATTTCTCAAGACAACTTTACATAACAGAGGACAAAATCCATGGTATTGTTCTGTGGAAAAATGTACTCCAAAGTGTATCTCTGTATTATATGATGCGTTAGCTGTCTCAGTTATTAGAATCAAGTAGCTATCTTCCAAAGTTCCACCATTTTTAGTATGAAATACCCCTGTGTGTTTGCCTGGACTGTAGTTCCTATACAGCAACACAGACTGATTAACTCAGGGTGCTGAAGCCTGCTGCTGTGTTCAGTTTACACAAGGGCGTAGGTTTGCATAGGGTCCATAGGGACTAGTCACGACCAAAGTTTGGGAAAGGCACAATTGTCCCCACCAATATTTTGTTAATTTTAATTGCCTGTTAGAAAAAATAATTTTGCACAATATATTTGCAAACTCATTCGTATTATTATTAGTGCTGGGCAAGTTAACGTGTTATTATCACGTCAACGCATTAATTAATTAACGCCGACAATTATTTTATAGCGCGTTTTTTTTAATTTTGAAAGTCCGTTGCTCACTGGCAGCGGTGGAGGAATGGAGACTACTGGACATCGCTGCGGTAAAGTCAGCAGACACTCAGATCTCCGTGGTCAACTCAGCAGACACTTACATGTTAGTGCACCTATATGCTGAAATTCACGGTAAACGCATTGAAACGGCACAGATCGGGAGCGAGCGAAGGACTTTGAAAGTTAGCGGAAAGATTAACGTGAGACAACATCCGGTTCCTTCAGACGAACATCCGGTTTTCAGAATAAGATGCCAACAAAGTATGAATTATATTCACATTAAGTATAAAACATGCTACCTGCATCTCATGAGTTAAAGGGAAAATACACCTAAATTGTGCATAAAGTGTCTTTATTCTTTGATCGCTGGGTAACCATCATCACCTCGGAGTTACAGCATTATATTGATGAACAGTAGAGCTGCATTCACATGCTCTGACTGTCATGAAGACACAAGACACACATTTAGATGAAACGTGCTGAAACATTTTATTCCTGTTGCACAGCAGTGGAACGTTTCACATACAGTCAGCACACTGAGCACAGATAGTGAAGAGATATAACTGCTACTGTGTAAAGGGAATACTGCTGTTAAAAAGAACCTCATGCGTTTTAAGTGTTTGCAAACCAAATGTTATTGCACTTTTGTTCATATAGCAGGCTGGCAGTGTCCCTACCAATGCTGAGACCAAACCTACGCCCTTGAGTCTACAGTTACTTCAATGGAAGCTGCTGACATGTTGCTACAAACCGATGGCTGACACTATCGCTGTGTGAGAAGAGTGACGCGCTACGAATCAAACGTGAGCTGGTCCCAACTTTTTTCAGCGATCTAATGCCACGGTGAAGCTTCAACCAATCATATATTTCACCCTGTTCCACTCTATCGAAATAAAATGCTGTTAGATGGAAGTTAGCTTCGCACTAGTTCCCTTTGCAAACAGCCAGTGGGATTTTTCCATTGAATTATTACAGAAAATATAGTCTCTGGCAAACAAATGCTAATGATACTTACATTGTTCAACAAGATAATCTTCACAAATGAAAACCACTTTTACGATTTTTGAAGCGTAAAATGCAATTTCTAGAAGTAAAAAGCTAACGTGAGAGCAACTAAACACAACAAGGAAGGCAAACTATTCTGTGTGCTGATGTTTAGTCGACTCATTTAGGCACACCGCCTTTTTAAAGATATGTAAAAGCTTCTAAATCCACCCGAGGGATATTTACTGATGCATTTTATATCGTTAAAACCTCTTCAGCTTGTGTTAACCACAGACCTTATGTCAGACAAAAACACATTCAATGAACACATTAACTTCGAGACGAGGAAACCTGAAGTGCAAAAATGCTGACTCATTTCCAGGTTTTAGGACTCATTCCTGCAGCTCTCTATATAAGGACATAACTAAGTCAACAAGCACTTGAGCAACACTTCAGCGGGGACTTTGGGAGTAACTAGTCACATTTGGCCGTTTTGTTGCTTTTGTTGCTCGAAATGTGAACATAGTATAATATTACCTTCAGATAAACTTTGGAATGGATTTTTGTGTGGATTTTGTCACTCATCACTTACATTAAATGCATTAATAGGGAACTGTTTAATGGCAAGTATGAACATGAGGAATTATTACAGCGAACAAAACCTGTTTCAATGTTCATATGGACACCGACTACAGACTTGAAAAATTGTGAACCTATCTTTCAATAAATGTAAAGGTTTATTGTCATTCTCTCCAAATATCCATCTGAAAATACAGAAGTTATATCCTTAGAAGCAGAGAAAGCCTATGATGGAGTCAAACTAAAGTATGTCTTTTTATTTATTTATTTGGTTGTATGTATTAAAGTTTTCCCCTTTAAGTTTGCTTCAAGGATACACTGGTGTTCTTACTGTCTTCTGAAGGTTTTATGTCCATCTTGAGCTGCAGATATGGTTTGGCAGCACTGACAAATGCAACATCCAAATCCCAGTCGGACAGCAGAGACAGAAACGTTTCAGCACCACTCCGATCTCGAGACAAGTAGTTGATCCCAAAATTCCGCTTCCTAATTTGAAAGACAAAGAAGAAGAAAATGCTGACACACATAATGTGTCTTTGCAACAGTAATGTGATAATTCTTACCCGTTCAAATCAAAGGCTCTGATGAGAATGTGCTGCAGGACCTCCAGTGATGTTATCTGAGGATCAACAGCAAAGGAGCGGAACTCCACAGGAAGCACCCCATCACATTTCTGAGAAGCAGAATATCCCAAAAAATCATGATACTGTGGGAAAACATTTTGGGAGGTGGCAACAAAATATACTATCTTGGCGGTTAGAAGACAAGAGTTGATGTAATGCACTGGACAACAGTTTCCAACGGAATTGAGCCATTTTAATCCGCATGCTGAGATTTTAAGTATATGTCAAATGCACTACCAAATCAATACATGCTGGCCATTTATAGTAATGCTGGGTGATGTGGTTAAAATAAACATTATTATGATAATAAAAAGATATGCTCAGATATAAATATATGGCAAATATATATGGACTTGGCATTTATATAGCACCTCTCTAGTCTAGACAAGTCAAAGCACTTAACAGTACATAACAACATTGATCCAATCACAAAGACAGTCATACACTGATAGCAGAGGCTGCTGATCAGACTCTGATCTAATCACACACACACACACACACACACACACACACACAATATAATAATAACATATGTGTAAGACAAGAACTAACAGAACTCATTTTGTTGGTTGCCTTTAATTGTTAATTTAGACCACAGAAATGTGTAGATGAAAAAATTATGTTAATATAGTCACAATACAATTCTGACAAAACCAATGAATATCCTCATCGTATTTCATCTCAATTTGCATCATGCAGTAAAGCAATTACATAACAAGTAAGAGTTTACTGAAATAGAGGCCACAGAATGCTTCTTGTTCAGGTAACATGTGACGTCACGTATTGCTGTTGCGTGCATACACGCACGCGTTTGCTGAGCAGGCAGGTGACGTCAGCCCCAATTTGTAAGGATTCTCTGCTGTGGGCTTAGCTTTAGGTTGGATCTTCATACTGTGTTTTAATCGTGCTTTTTATAGAAAATTGTCAGTGTCAGTTAAGACTAGCAGTTACGGTCAAATTACGGGACAAATAAAGTGATAAACAGAGATACTGATTCGGTCATAAACAGCATTCAGCGACAACAAATGCTGGCGATGAACATGTATTCATACGCAGGTAGACTGGCTCTCTCCAAACACACTGCTCTACAGCCGATGTGACGGCTGTCTCTATCTCGACGTTTAGCACTAGAACGTGTGTTTGAACGACAGCTAGCAAATACTGAACAGACTGTTCAATAAACACGATAACGGGGCTGCTAGCTAACTAGCGGACGTTGTCAGACTATTTGTTACCCAGACCGTTTTCATCCTACCTTGACTTTGACACGAACCACCCCCCTCTCCTCCTCGCCTGCCATTTTAAAGACTCCGTTTCGCAACAGGGTGGTTGTCGTGACTTTTGTGTTCCTTCTACACCGACACGGTGGTCAATAACATGATGGGGGCAGCGGGTAGCACTAGCCGAGCTGCTTGTATTTCGTGATCTTCTTCTGCTTTGATTTGACAGACGGTTTACAACTGCATTACCGCCATCTACTGGACATATCTTTATCATGTCCTCACCTCACCACGAACTCTCTTTACACATCCATGCAGATGACCAGTGGTGGAAGAAGTATTCAGATCTAAAGTCCTGCTTTCTGAAACTTGAAATACACTCAAATAAAGTACAGAAGAACTATCAGCTAAATATAAAAGTAAATGTTTTCATAATGCAGTACAATGGCCCCTGTGAGTGCTATTTTATATGTAAGCCTATTAACATTTTCAATTGATGCTTGTCAAGATGAAGCTAGTTGGGACTACTTTCTATACTTGGGTAGTTTAAATAGAAATACATGTGTTTATTGTTATTTATTGCCTTAAAAAGTTGCTATTAACTCTCAAGTCTTGGGTGTTAAGATGGTATCTGTGCCAACACCGTTTTAAACGCATCTTCAGCATAAGCTCATAGATACTGTATTTACTCTAACTGGGACAGCCCTTTTCTTCTCTCCAATCTATTACTGTTAGGAGTTTAACAGATTAAAGGACTTGGACTTGAATCCAGGACTTGGAGTTGGCCAAAATATCATCCATGTACACCTGTAAACCAAAAAACTATTTGTGGGCATGCACAGCCTTGCCATAATGACTGCCATAAGAAAATATGCTTATTTCTACCCCACTATCAATATAGTCTGTCTGACTGAATAAATTCAAATTCACTTCAGAGGATGAACAGTCTCTACGTCACACACTAGGCAAAGTTTAGACCTTCATATTCAAAATTACAGGATATTAATCGTACAAGTTCAGACAAATGTCATCAAGTGTTGACAATAAACTAGTTTTAAATAAGCAAAATTAAATGTGTAGATATAACAGAACAACAAGTGATTGTACAAAATATACAACTATGATAGTGTTCACTTTGCGTGCTGTTTAAAAGCCGTGTTTCGATAATTTCTTTTCCAGGATGCAGTTCACTGCGTCAGCTTCATTTCAAGAAGAAAATAAGAGCAGGTGATGTGAATGATCACATATTTGACAGTCCATATCCCACCCTGATCCCAACTATGCAACCAAGCATCCATCCTACTTTCCAGCACCTTTCCGGTCATGAGATTGCCTCTTTTGGAGCATGCTGGGAAGTGTATTTCTAGATTGCTCGGTTACCGCTTGTTCTTACCGAGAGTAAATCGAGATGAAACTCTACTTCCCAGAATACCACTGCTCAGTTCCCTTATTACTTCATTTCCACACCGAACAAGCCACACAAATGTCAGATTTGTTACGTTTGTAGCAGATAGCACCGGTCAGGGTGAATTTGTATGGAATGCGGAACAATTGTTCATTATATTCAACACTTATTTGTAGCACGGCGCTCATACACGTAGAATTACTTACTATGGATTCTGTGAGGGAATGTACGAGTGGCATCCTTGCTAATTAAAAAGTAGCTAGTTCCTAAGTTAGCTAACAGAAGATGGAAGCTAGTTTTCTAGCCTGCTTTCGTCCGTGGGAATCCCTCACTAATATTAGCTAACTTGATGGTAATGCATAGCCTTGCTAGCATCAGATGCTCTGCCATAATCCTGTCTGTTAGCTAATATATCTACAGAAAAAACTTCAGCGATGGAAGAAGTTGACAAAATTTTGATTCACGCACTCAAACAAGTCGGCACGTAAGTATTGGCAGCCTTTAATTAATTGTGTACAATGGCACCTTAACCACGAGTTTTTGAAATGACATGTTATTAGGTTTGTTGGTTAGCAACATGCTGTCAGACAGAAAGCGTCCATGTAGTCAGCCCGTCACATGACGTGAGTTATTGGAGTGGAGGCAAAGCTTGTGAGCTAGCAGTGAAAGTGATCAAACTAACGTTATGAATGTGTGACCCACAGAGAGGTGAGTGAGGACACGGACAGTGTCAAACAGTTCAGCAGTGAGCTCATAGTGGAGGCGGTGGTCAGATGTATCCGGGTGATCGAGCCAGGCCTGGGCAGTCCGCTGCCCACATCCCTCCCTCCAGGCATGTCTGCCCGCTTCAGGGTGGGCATGAGCCTGGCACAGGCCTGTCAGGTAAGACACTTCTGAGTTATTCAGGATGAAGGACTTCATTAGACCCTTTAGTAAGTGTTTGAACCCGAATCCAGTTTACTGAAGCAGCAGGTCATAGCATATGACTGAATAACAATCAATACCAACAATTGGAAGTTTATTGTATAATAATTTATATGGTTAACAGATATAAGAAGCTCTTCATTGTACACAGATTGTTCTTTGCAAGTAGACTGCCATGATGTCATTCATTGGCCTAAAGAGGGATTACAATGAGAGACTGCCACTGAAGGCAACAATGTTTGTTGATTCCTGACCTCGGAAACAGTCGTTTTTAAAACTCAAAGTCCACTTACTAGGTTGTTCTGGAGCTTTCAGCCAAATCTGATGGTCTTCGTCATTAGATTGAATTTGCTCAGTTGTAAATGACAACTGACGAACTGAGCAAACTACATCCACAGACATGTGTTTGAAAGCCCTGGTAAAAAGCTTTTAAGTGGAGTTTGAATTAAGGTTTTTGTTAAATGAAATGTTATCTTGAAAGAAAGTGTGTGTGTGTGTGTGTGTGTGTGTGTGACCTCAAAAGTGTGTTCAATGAAAACCTTTTTGAGTCCTTCATTCTTAGTCTTTCATGTTTCTCTTTTGCTCTTGGATTCACTTTAACAAGAATATTCAAGGACATTATCAGCACTGTTTCCATTCGGTCCGTTGTAGTGACAGACTACATACTGACCAGAAGGTTTATGATACATTTTATTTGTAGAGCACTTTTCAGGACACTTAATTAGACGCACAGGTAGTTGTGGGCGAAGTTCTGATGTGTCCGTATGAGTACCAGCTCAATTGAAGCACCAAATCACTGCCTGTAGTTCCTCAGCAGTATTCCTAATACGTCAAACTATTGGTTTGCAGGACATTGGTTATAAAGGAGAGATAGGCTACCAGACTTTCCTATACAGCAATGAGCCAGAGATCCGCTCCCTGCTCATGTTCCTGGTTGAGAAGCTGCCCAGAGAAAGTGCAGAGGCCTCAGATCAGCCGACAGGTATGCAGAGCACCAGTCTATGTCCTCAACACAGTTTCATGTCACCTGTCATTGGAGAGAAAGAAATCTAGTACACGTATTGTTACATGCGCTGTAATTTGTGCCATAACCTAAGATTTATACTATAATCTTGGTTTGTAGCTATAAGGTAATATAACACTGATGATTACATTTGATTGACATAAATAAGCACCCTTTATCAAGAATAACTGCACGTAAGCTCAATGGGTGTTTCAGTAAGTTGTTTAACAACCAGACTGTGAGTCATAATCCTCAAGTAGAATTTGATCCCTCTTTATCCAAACAAAGGTGGCAGCTAGACAAGTGAGCAGCTTTTCTTACAGTGTACCATTTTTTGGGGTGTCAATAACAAAAAAACATTGATAGACAACATCTTGATCTATATATGGGTCCCTGTGTAAGTATATCGTAACGGATAAGAATGGGTGTAATGTACATGTTGATTTTAGTTAGACCATTCACATATAAGAAATCAGTCATCAAAATCCATCCCAGACAACTGCACTGTTTCATGTTGGAAGGTTTGGAAGGCATTGCACCATGAAGGAAAAGAGTAAGAATCAGTAACACAGTCCTACACAAATGAGGAAATGTTGTTGTCTCTACGGATGTTTGCATGACAAGGCATTTTGTCATGTCTTATTGAAGAGTCATCCAAAGCTGTCGTCTCTACCTGTAGGTAAATCGGTGGTCCTTCAGAGAGCCATCGCTGCTGCAATCAAAGCCCAGTTGGTCGTTCCTTGGCTGCCTCCTAACTGCAGACTGCCACTGCACGGTGAAACACAAGTAAACTCTTTAAAGTTGCATTTTGATGTCTGAAAACTGCTTTAAATTAGTGCTGGGCAACGATTAAAATATTTAATCGCGATTAATCGCATGGATTTTTTTGCGATTAATCGCATTGTTATGGCAAAGTTCAATAATGAATTCAAAAGTAGTGTATTGCGCACTTTTATTTTAAAAGTACTGCTATATGAACAAAAGGGCAATAACATTTGGTTCACGAGATGCAGGTAGCATGTTTTATACCTAATGTGAATATAATTCATACTTTGTTGGCATCTTATTCTGAAAACCGGATGTTTGTCTGAAGAAACCGGATGTTGTCTCACGTTAATCTTTCCGCTAACCTTCAAAGTCCTACGCTCGCTCCCGATCTGTGCCGTTTCAATGCGTTTACCGCGAATTTCACCATATAGGTGTAGTACAATGTAAGTGTCTGCTGAGTTGACCACGGAGATCTGAGTGTCTGCAGCAATGTCCAGTAGTCTCCAGGGAGAGCAACAGCTGATGCAGCTTCTCTCTTTATTTCTGCCCCCCCCTCCCTCGACCAGAAGCGGAAGTCGCCTTTTCTCTACGGCAACCCTGAAGGGACATCATATCTCCAATACAAAACGATAAACATGAGACAGTCTGTTACAATAATAATAAATTAAAAATACTTGCCTGTTTTTTTTTTTTGTTGTTGTTTTTTAATTATTATTATTATTGTTTTTTTTTTTTCCCATCTCAAAAGGCTCAAGGACATGCACGTGCGCGCGCACACACACACACACACACACACACACACACCTGACTATAGGATGTTTGCTGGCTTTTATCACACTGTTCTTGTCATCCTCTTGTTGTTATGTATATGTATTGTCTCTTGTCTTTCAATAAAAAAAAAAAATTAAAATAAATTAAAAAAATGCGTTAACGCATAAAATAATTGTCAGCGTTAAATTAATGAATGCGTTAATGCAAAATTAACGCGTTAACTTGCCCAGCACTACTTTACATGCATGCATACATAATAAACATGGGGATGTGTCAAGTCTATCAGCAACAGGACTGAGAGAGTGACCGAGCTTCATGGGTGTTGTAGTAT